TAGTACGTAGACGGACATTGGTACAGCGAGTGAAGGAGATCCTCGACCACTGTGGATATTCCTACCTACTGCATATTGATAGTACAACCTGTGATCCTCAACTTATGTATAAAGTATTAAGGACAAGGCTTTCAGACATGACTACTACATTCAAACTTTCTTCCTTAGTTCGTCTGTTAATACCGGTAAACTGAGATTTAGAAAATGTAAAACTGAACACTGTTTGAAAACAATACCTAGAACACTGTGACTTCGAGCAGCGCTCCGCTATTAGTAAAATTAGAATCAGTGCCCACTCCTTGGAAATCGAAAAAGGGCGATATATGAAACTACCTGTGTCGGAGAGAATTTGTAAATATTGCTCCTCAAATGCAGTGGAAGACGAAATTCATTTCATCTCTAATTATCCATTTTATGACGACATCAGAAAACAATTATTTAGCACCGTGTCCAAAATGCTCCCCTACTTCCCCACCATTCCCTACCACAAAAGAGCAATTTTACTACTAAAAGATCCCAGAACCGTGCCTGGGAACACATCGACGTTCTTGGATACACGGAGACTATCCCCTGAACCATGCCCAACATTAATTCATGCGGGCATAGAACTACCTAGTACTTGATAGGTACGGTTCTTAAGCGACGGCAGGGCCGGTGTGACAGAGATCTCGCACCCCCAGTGATTTCGCACCCCCCGGAGCGAAATCACTAGCGATCTCGCACCCCCCGGAACGATATCACTAGTGATCTCGCACCCCTTTGGTGATCTTGCACCCCCCGGGGGGTGCAGAATCGGTAGCGATTTTGCACCCCCTCAATCGATTTGTTCACCCCGTATGTGTTCTGTTACGGCCTTCGTAATTCACAGTGGTTACTATATCAGATGCTACCTATTAACAAACACTATCCTCTAGTATGACAATACCAATATTCAGTAATTACCTTCGCCAAGAAGGTTATGTTTTCGTGGCGGTGTGTCTGTTTGTCTGTCTGTCTGTCTGTTTGTCTGCCTGTTCTTGATGAGACCTCGAAATGATTAGATTTTAGGCCACTTAGCGGCTTGTTATGGTACTGCAGCAGAACTTCCGGTTTTGATATCTCGTGATCTGAACATGCTAGGGTCATGAATTTTGCATGATAGATAGCTCTTGCCCTGGGGAATAAGTGACGTAAGTTTGGACCCCCTAGCAGCTTGTTTGGGAACTGCAGGGGACTTCAAATGTTTAAAGGAGGATAACTCAAGAACCAGTTGAGGAATCATTGTGATTTTTGGTATGTAGGCAGCCTAGAGGATGCTTGACATAATGATATGACAATTATGCAAATAAGGATATAATTTGCATTGTTAATGAGGATATTCTATAAATCTGTTGCATGCCATGATAGGACTATTCAGACTTGTGACATGTGTAATTGGACAGGAACATGGCCATATAATATTATGTAAATTGGGGGCTAATTTGCATAATTCATAAGAAAAAGCTATAATTTCATTGTTTTTAACTGCCAGGAATTTGATGTTTGTGGCGTTTGGAGGGTGAGCAAAGCTGAATATCATTAAACATAATTTATTCAAATTAAGACCTCATATGCATAATCTAATATAAATTAAGGTGAACATCAGTTGGCGAAGGTATGAGGTCGTGGAACTCTAGTTCTATATAATGCACAAATCCATTTTTGTTTACCTTTCATGTTCTTTTGACTGCAAGGGTACGTTCCTCTCGATTACAACATTAAAGTATGGTTTTATCACACTAAAATGCAGTTTCAACTATATACCGGGCAGACAGAACAATTTTCAAAATGTTTGGCGGGGGTA